ATGCAACCTCCATGGCAGACACCAGCGCTAACCTGGCCTTCAATCTCTACCACAATATCGCCAAAGAAAAGGATCTTGACAACATCCTCATCTCTCCTGTGGTGGTGGCCTCCTCTCTGGGCATGGTCGCCATGGGGGGGAAATCCTCCACTGCGTCCCAGGTGAAGAGTCTCCTGAAGGCTGACGCCCTGAAGGATGACCACCTGCACACAGGCCTGTCCGAGCTTCTGAATGAGGTGAGCGACCCCCAGGCCCGCAAAGTCACGTGGAAGATCAGCAACAGGCTGTACGGCCCAAGCTCTGTCAGCTTTTCCGACGACTTTGTCAAGAACAGCAAGAAGCACTACAACTACGAACACTCGAAGATCAACTTCCGTGATAAGAGAAGCGCCATTAACTCCATCAATGAGTGGGCTGCCAAGTCAACTGACGGAAAGCTGCCAGAAATTACCAAGGATGTGAAAAACACAGATGGGGCTATGATCGTAAACGCTATGTTCTTTAAACGTAAGTATTTCTGTTGCCTTTTTTTAATTTAAGATGTCATATATAAAATTACATTAAATTATTAAATTATATTTATTAATTAATCCGGGATGAACCCCCAATTAATATGTACTTTAATAGTTAATACGTTAATAGTTAATAGTTTAATTTACTTTAATAAAGTCTATATAAATCATATTTATTTATTATTAAATTATACTCAATTGTTGATGCCACCTATTTTTTATTTATTTTTTAGTTGGAATAGATATTTACCTTAATAGTTCCAGGACTGTCTAAATCATATTTAATTATTATTTATTAAATTATATTTAATTATTGACCTTGGCAGGCCCCATTTGTTATGTCATGACTTTTTTTTATAAATTTTTTGTTAGGATGGATATTTACTTTGATATTATACTTAATTACCAATTATTCAATCATATGTAATAATTGATTCGGAACTAGCCCCAATTGTTATGTCCTGGCTTTTCCCATATTTTTAAGTTAGCATTGATATTTACTTTAATAATAAATAATAGTTAAACATTTTAAATTAAATAATTACAATTTTATTTTATTATTAATTTATATATTTTATTATTTATCCTGAACAAAAATTTAAAGACAAGCACTTCTGTAACAAAACATTCTGTTGACATGGTGGTTTAATGACTAGAAAGATCAATCTAATTATTAATCATTTTAATGGCTTATTCCTGCTCCACAGCCCACTGGGATGAGAAGTTCCACCACAAGATGGTTGACAACCGTGGTTTCCTGGTTTCCCGCTCTCACACAATCTCTGTTCCAATGATGCATCGCACAGGTAAAACCAACAACTTGTTTTGAAATCTCTTACTCAAAATCTACTGTAACTACAAGCGAACTTAACAGTATTTAACTTTGCCCGTTACAGGTATCTACGGCTTCTATGAAGACACACAGAACAAGCTGTTTGTGGTCAGCATACCTTTGGCACATAAGAAGTCCAGCATGATTTTCATCATGCCCTACCACGTGGAGCCCCTGGACAGGCTGGAGAAACTGCTCACTCGCCAGCAGCTGGACACCTGGGTCAGCAAGCTCGAGGAGAGAGCAGTCGCCATCTCTCTGCCTAAAGTTAGCATGGAAGTTAGCCACGACCTTCAGGTAAATATGGCTGATTTTTGCTATATAGTTGCTATATAACCACAACCAATATTTTCTGTATGATATATGAGGCTCTTTTCTCTTGCTTTGCAGAAACATCTTGCAGAACTTGGTCTCACTGAAGCTGTGGACAAGTCTAAGGCAGACCTGTCCAACATTTCTGGCAAGAAAGATCTTTACCTCGCCAATGTCTTCCATGCCTCTGCCTTGGAGTGGGACACAGAGGGAAACCCATTTGACACCAGCATTTATGGTAGCGAGAAGATCAGGAACCCGAAGCTCTTCTACGCCGACCATCCCTTCATTTTCCTTGTGAAAGACAACAAGACCAACTCCATTCTTTTTATGGGCAGGCTAGTTCGGCCTAAGGGTGATAAAATGAGAGATGAATTGTAACTTTCAGGCTATTTGAATTTTATGATGTTTTAAAAAGGTATTATTGTTATTAATGGTGTGACTGTTACCTCGAGTGGCCATTCCAATGGATTATCTGTGTATGGGCAATCACAGTGAACCTGTCAGTACAAAAACATATTTTTAAGGAGACTAGTTGTAAACATCAGGAGCAATGCAATCCTATAGGTGTGGAATTAGAGCCCTACAAATGTAACCAGAGGTTTGACATCAATTAGTTCATGTGTATTATTCAATCAGACACTATGCTTATATTAAGCATAGTGTCGTTGATGTTAAGCTGTGGTATTTATTATTATGCTTGTAGAGCCTCTCTTTATGAGTATGTGACATCTGCGTAGGGTTTGCCTTATCTTTAATGTTTAAAGGGAAAAGGTCCTTTTCAAGTGTTTCTCAAGCACAGTTGGTAGGTTCTATGATTTCACTTCCATCCAACAAAAAACTCTCCTGCACTGATGCTTGTCTCCAGTTTGTTAGATGTTATTTTTCAGCATGTCTTTAGCATATAGAATCTTTTGAGAAAGTGTGCTGATTTTTTCCCTTCATATCATTCTGCTGTTTTTTCCCAATAAACTGAAATTTAAAATATTGTCCTAGTATTTTTTTATGTTTAAAGTAATAATAAATTAATTGTGGAGAGATGAAGTGAGGACTCAAGTGCAGGATGAATGGTTCTTTCTTTTAATAATAAAATGAAACTAAAACAACCCTGAGGGGGAAAAACAGACAGGCAGGCTAGGAACTGCACTACATGCAGACATAACACACACAATGGAAAACGACAGATCAGCACAGGATTACAGACACCAGGAGAATAAATAGGAAACCAAATGAGGAGGCTAGCGAGGGAGACACAGGTGGAGCAACTTAAACAATAATGAGGTAACAAGATGGGCGGGGCAAGACAATAGACAGGAGAGAGCACATGGCACCAAACAAACACAACACAAGCCATGTGCTCACAGCAAACAGTGTCATCTGGTGGCCATCCTGGGCACACCCGCTGAAGACTGTGACAGCATCAGAACAACATTGTCTTTTGCTAGCATGAAATTGAACGTTTAAAGTCTCCTACTACTGCTATCTTTATCCATACAATTGCTCATGAAATGTAACAATTATAGTATATAATATTTTACAGTATTTATATACATGTTTAACAGACAATTAAAAAATGTTAGGAGTGCAAAACTGAACTATTACAGAGAGGCCTTTTGAGATCTGTCCGGCCTTGACATTGACTCCCAGAAAATGAGATCAGTCTGAAAAATTATAATTAAAAATGCCACTCAGGCTTTGCCTGATAGGTTTGATTAACAGAAAATGCAAGTTATCATAAACAGCTTATGTAAGGCAGTCAATCCCTCTCAGACAAACCCAGCCTACATGTTTAATACAACTTAAACTGCACAGCATCTTAAACATTTCATTATATCCAGTACAAGCACATGTGCTTCATCGGAGAGAGACAGGACCCTTTATTAAACTGATTAGTCTGATTTTATTTGTAATTTAAAAGCAGTATCAGTTTTGCCCAGTTTTCTAAATGTATTGAAAGGTACAACTAATAAATATTCTGCATAGTATAAATAAACATTTTTGCGTAAATGAACAGAATTCACAGAGTTATTGCATTCCATTTTGTAATTTCTTTTAAGCAACTTCTTACTCAGCATCAACACAGTCATATTTCACGATTTCATGAGTCCAGAGACAACGTACAGCAGCCTTACATTTGTAATCACCAACCTCGATCAATTTGGCTTTTGTATAAACAATGCTAGAATATCCCATCTGGCCATTGCAGCAGATGTCCACTAAGCCTCACCAAATCTGATTATGTCACTACATTGTTTTTTGGTTAGAGAAGATCAAAGAAAATCAATTAAAGCTCCAACATGAGTAACAAATATCTGAGAATGCAAAATGCGAAACACCTGTGAAAAAAACCAAACGTACCATACATAATGAGCCACTCTGTGGCCAAAACAGAGTAAGTGTGACAGTGTTAGACTGGGAAAGAAATACACTTTCACTGACTACTTGTTCCTCAGCTGCCATTTCATTAGCGCTGTTGTTTCTGCTGTGCTGGGCAGAGTCGGATTAGACAGACGACAACCAATCCTATTAAAGTAATCTTTGTAAGCTGCAGTGAAACGCATGCTTGTGTTGTCCTTTGTTTCTCTCCCATGCAACTTGTCATGTATCTTTCCTTCTTTGTCCGTTTTAGCATCCTTCCTTGTGCTTCTCAGATTTTGGGCTTGTCCACTTGTCTGTTGGCCTTGCGAAATATTGACTTGATCTCCTCCGTCACCATGTCTTGCCAGTTATCTCTAAAAGATGAGAAGTGATTTAGAAAGCTATCAGTGATGATGACAGACAGAATTTTAGATCATTTTTGGACTTTGGCAAGAGATGCATTTCATAAAAACTGCAGAAATACACAACATGCACAAATAAGTGGATAAGCAAGAAGACCAACACCACAATGAACAGCATCACGGCACAAACCCACCAGAAATCACCCTAACCACATGACAAATACAGCACAGCATGCAAGGTACTACCTCCTTGCAAATGGCTATGGGTTCATGCCTTTTTCTCAGCTTTCCTTCTCCTGTAAGCCTCAATGTCCTCAGGTCTCAAACCATGATTGTCTTCCCTGATGCATAAATCCAATTATCCAATAGTATCCCATTCATACGTACAAAGAGAATTAATCTAAACCACAAAATCAATCTAAAAGTGCAATTTATTTGGAAAGTGGTGCAGTAAAATACAATTTATAGCCAGTAAAATAATGTGGAATATAATGAAAAGGCCACACTTATTTGTATAACATGCTAAGTTTATTTAAAAAAAAAAAAATTATAATTATAAAAATCTTACCCTGGTTTGATCTCTGGTGGTTTTGGCAAAGGCTTAGTAAAATTAGATTTCCCAACAAGCCAGTATGTTTCCTCAATGCCTTTCCCCTAAAAAACACATTTAAAAAATACAAAATTAAAAATAAAAACAGTAACAACAATAAAAATAAAAGGTAAGTCAGTGCATAAACTACTGTTCAAAAGTTTGGGGTTGGTAAGCTTTTTTTAATGTTCTTGAAAATAGTCTCTTATGCTCTCCAAGGCTGCATTTATTTAATCAAAAATACAATAAAAACAGTACTACTGTGAAATATTGTTACAATTAAAATAACTGTTTTCTATATAAATATATATTGAGTTTTCAGCTCAAGTCTTTAGTGTCACATGATCCTTCAGAAATCATTCTAATATGCTATCAAGCTCAAGAAACATTTCTTATTATTATCAATTTTGAAAACAGTTCTCTAGTGTGTTATGATTCTTACAATCAAGCATTTGTGTTAGTACCTTTAGCTCAGTCTTTCCTCTAACTTCTATTTGGTAGCCATCGTTCAATGAGCGGAGAATATTCACTGTACTAATGTTCACATGAATTCTGTAAGCTGAAGGAAATAATGTTTATTGATGCATCTTCTCATTACAGTACATCATGAGTTAGTATATCACATCTGTAAAGAAAAATATTTGAATGGACCATACGCAACCCTGTAGATTCCATACGAGAGGCGGTGTTGACTGTGTCTCCAAAAAGGCAGTATCTAGGCATAGTTAGACCCACAACTCCAGCAACACACGACCCTGGATAGAGAAGAAACATGATGGGACGAGGGACGAGTAGTAGAAATTTGGACAATGAAATTTAATTTCAAAAGATTACATGAGCATCACAAGAGGTTTTCCATAACAGTACCACTAAGCGGATGAAAACAGCTGGAGATTGAGTGCTCACCTGAGTGAATGCCGATCCGTATCCTGACCGGAACGTCTGGCATGTGCCGCATCTTGAAGGTGCCCACGGAACTGAGAATGTTCAGGGACATGTTGGCGATTTCGGCTGCGTGCTTGTTGCCGTTCCTCTTCGGCAGCCCGGAGGCCACCATGTAGGCATCTCCAATGGTTTCAACCTGTGATAAAGAAGAGTTAATTGGCTTTTCATGGAAATCCAGTGCTGTGCGGCATGTTGACTCAGACATCCAAGCTTACCTTGTAGACATCATGGCTGCCCAGCACGGCATCAAATAGGGAGTAAAGGTCATTGAGCAGGTCCACAACCTCAATTGGATCACTAAGGGATGAGATGGTGGTGAAGCCTACAATGTCACTGAAGTAGATGGTGACTTGATCAAAGTACTCTGGCTCCACGGAGGCACCGGTTTTCAGAGCTTCTGCCACAGAACTGTGAGTGAAAATTGACATGAAGCTTAATTTGACATAGATGTTGATCCAGGAACGTCTTACTGGAGAAAATAAAATGAAGTATGTGAGAAGTGTGTTGGTGTATGAAAACATATACTCACGGAGGAAGCATCTCAGCCAGAAGCTTCTCCGTCCTCTGTTTCTCTACCTCCAGCTCCTCCGTTCTTTCCCTGATAAGGTCCTCCAGGTTAGAGGAGTACTGCTCCAGCATACGCAACATGGAGTCAATAATATTGGTCTTTTTGCCCTTGTTAATGAGCTTGAACTGAGAACAGAAAATAAGAAGCCGTTATCACTGAATATAAAAAAAATCATTAGTTTTAATATAGTTGTCTTTTAGACCTTTGCCAAGAAACTTTTATTAAAATGTCTTTAACATGAAATTTGGATGCAAAGCTATCCAGTGAGATGTATGTTGTCATATTAGAATTAAAATATATAAATACACTATATCAAATGTTCAAATGTTTGGGGTTGGCAAGGTTTTTTTTTTAATGTTCTTTTTATTTTTTATAGTCTCTTATGCCTACCAAGGTTGTATTTATTTGATTAAAATTTGTATTTATTTGATTAAAGATTACAGTAAATCAGTAATATTGAACAATGTTTACAATTTAAAATATCTATTAATAAACTTAAAATAACTTTAAAATAAATATTTTATCAAATAAAATAAATGTCAAATAAATATTTTTATATATTTTAATGTATTATATATTAATATAATGTAAGTTATTCATGTGATGGCAAAGCTGAATTTTCAGCAGTCATTACTCCAGTCTTCAGTGTCACATGATCCTTCCGAAATCATTTTAATATGCTGATTTGAAACATTTCTAATTATTACCAATATTTTTGTGGAAACCATGATACTTTTTTTCAAACACAACTTAAGTTCAAACACAATTTATTTGAAATTTTTTGTAACGTTATACATGTTTTTATCGTCACTTTTGATCAATTTCATGCATCCTTGCTGAATAATAGTATTAATTTCTTTAAAAAAAACTTCAAATATAAATAATAATAATAAAAATACATCAAATAACACAAAATAAAACAATTATGATAAAATAAAATGGCTGGCACAATATACTGTAAAATCATTACACAAAGTAAGCAACCATTCTAAAAACTACAAAGTTCCTCAGATCCTAAGTGTGTTACTCTGTTAGCCAATGCACTCAATAAACTCCAAAAACGACTACTCAAAACTCACCTGATCAAAGATCTGATCAAAAGGAGGCCTTCTATCAGGTTGTTCACTCCAGCACTGCTTCATTAACTGGATGCATTCCAGTGGAGCTTGATCTGGAGCTACAGTGGGCCTGCACATAGGCGGAGGTTTCTTCACCTTCCTTATTATCTCTGTTGATACAATAATCATGTCTTTACTTATAAAGAGATGCCAAATTTCACTGATAATACCTGTCCAGTTACTGTTGTAACAGCCTGTTTACTATAAAGCTGGTTCATCAAACTAAGAGCAGTAGATCTTGTAGACTGTCTTTATAACTAACCTTCAGGAGACAAGCCGAGCATGCAGTACGGCGCTCCTCTGACCACTACTTCTTGAAGTATAATTGCAAAACTGTACACATCTCCTTTATAAGTTCCTTTCCGTGGACTTTCTGGGTCTCTGAGAAATTCAGGAGCTGTCCAGAATAGATCTGAGTGACAAAGAATTGCCTTATCATGTTTTTGTTTAATATCAGAGAATTAGATGGAATAAAAGTGAGATTTGCATTATAAATAAACCAGATTTTTTAAAAATAAACACCCATACCCTCTAGAGGTGGGGTCTCCTTTGGAGCTTTCTGGGTCTCAAGAATCTCATTGTAACCATAATCAGTGATCTTTAAGACAAAACGTCCATCTACTACACAATTACGAGACTTCAGGTGCCCATGAGGAAATTCCCTGTGGTGAAGATATTTCATGCCCTATTGGATGGTACCAGAAACCATCAGATTTTAACGTCGACAAAGATATATATAAGGACATTATAAATGCATTTGAAAATAATCTGGAGATCATTAGAAGTTTGCATTTTTACATTAATATTCATCAAAATGTTCAAAAGTACCTTGATGAGATCCAGCACTAAGGAGGATTTAAACATCCAGTCCAGTTTGACATCTTCATTACGGAGGAGGTCATGTAGACTCCCCCGTGAACAGTGTTCAGTCACAATGGCAAACATCTCACAATCGGTGAAGAACCCCAAAAATGGATTGACATTTTCATTCCGTAGGTCCTTCATCTGGGAATTATAAAGATGATAGGAAGTGTCACTCAAAGAACAAGATCATACCAAACTGTTAGTTTTAAATGAGTGTTTTGAGCCATACCTTGGTGAAGATCTTAGTGGTGCTCTGTTTAACCTCTTTGAAGTCTCCCTCCTTAAACTTTTTTAGCCACACCCAGTCGCCCTGCAAAGATTAAAATGATTTAAATTGTGTCAAGTTGAAATGACATGGTGTGTTCAATAAATAAAATGAAATGACTCATAAAATCACCTCATAGACAGCCACGTTTGAAGTTTCATGTGTTGCTGTTGCCATGCTATTCACAGAGCGGGAACGTTCACCTGTGCTCTTCTCCTCAATGTAACTTTTTGAGTCGCAAAGATCCTCAAGGGTGATTTTCTGTGAGAAAAGAGATACATAGAAAATATAACATTTTCAAAAAAGGGCTTAATGTTTAAATAAAACAGCTGGTCGGGTGACGCATACCCTCTTGCTCAGCTGAGGGTTGATGAAGGTCAGGTCCTCAAGCGTAAGCAGGATTCTGTTGGGCCCTTTGATCAGCTGGATTTGTTGGATTCGCCTCCTACAAAGATCAGACAAGTTCACGCACAACTTCTTGTATCTTCTATATATTCATAAAATGAAAAAATCATAGGATCTTATCAAAACCACAGCAATATTACCTTATGAATAGACTTAGACCAATAGAACCAAGAACCATAATGAGGACAATCACAAACGCTATGATAACATATATAATTTCCACACCTAAAACACAAAAGAATAAATTAGTCAACAAATGCATAGCATATAAGTTACTAATTATACATAACATGATCAGTTAACAGTGATCATATAAAAATACTAAAGTCATACTAAAATTTTAATTATTTTATGCAAATTATTTGACTTTTATAATAATAATAATAATAATAAAATGATGCCGTTATGATGTGACATTGACAATGATCATATGAAAACAGCAATGTCATAATTGTTAGCATGATTAAAAATAAAATATTACTGTTTAATTTAAATTATTGAATGTCATTTTAATTATTTCTTTAAACTATTTGGCTTTGAATAATAATAAACATAACAATGTTTAATATTGATTATTTACAACACAATACTGAGCATAAAGATATTAATTTTATTTTTACAGTGCTTATATATATATAGAGAGAGAGAGAGAGATGCTAATGTAACGTCTCGGTTACGTATGGTAACCCTCGTTCCCTGAAGGAGGGAACGGAGACGTCACGTCGGATGACCGACGAATTGGGATCTCGCTTAGAGAGACCAATCTACTTCTCGGCCGCCTTCACTGTTGTAAAGCGGATGCCATTGAACTTGGGGGTACGCCGGGCAAACTGAATCGCATAGCCGAGGCTTATGGACCGCAGAAACCAGCGAGATGGGCTGGGTAGCTCTAGCCAGGCACCCAGATACCGTGCAAGCGGGACCAACGGAACCACTGCTCTTTTAGTGTGCTGAAGCGCACAGGGGAGATGGCCGTCTGCAACACACACAGGGGTAGTGCAGCCTGTTGTGTGCAACCCACTCGACACGGGAAAACCACCGCCGCTGAAGTGCCGTACCACCAGCACGAGAGCCCACTTCGAAGAGCGTGCTTGACTGTAGTTTTTCTTTCTCTACGTAGAAGGTCAGGAGCAGAACGATAGAACCGCTCGGCTCTGAAGTGAAAAGCTGAATATGCGCTGCATCTGCTGCCTACTTATACTCACGCTGTGATCAGTGGCAGCTGGATGCAATAATCGCATGCCAATGTGCATTGGCTCGTTTAGTTTACACTCGAAGTAGATTGGTCTCTCTAAGCGAGATCCCAATTCGTCGGTCATCCGACGTGACGTCGAGAGTGACCGACTGAAAGGGAACTATAATTTAATTGTAATTATTAATTTTAATTGATTATTTCTGTTAAAAATGTTATTTATTATTTGTAAAAAAATAAAATAAAATAACCGATATTTTCTTTAAAATATTTCTTAAAAGAATAATAATAATATTTAATATTGATCATAAAATAACAAATAACATTTCTTAAAATTATTTGAATTTGAATGTTATTAATTTTTAATAATAATAATAATAATAGTAATGCTGGTGGCTTTTAAGCTGAAAAATTGACACCATTAAAAGTCAAATATCTATTTCTCATTGATCAACACTGTGTAAAATGAGTATGAGTTTGTGTGGGTTTGTTGTACCTCCTGTGCAGATGGCATTGGGGTCAAACCAGCAGCTGGAGTCTGAAGGTGGAGGTGAACCTGCAGGGAAATTAATGTACGTGCCGGCAAACAGCACCTTATCTAACGTCAGGTTCACATAAAAGCAGCGATACAGTTCAGATCCCCAGCCATCAGTGTCTAAGATCACATAGTCGGTTTGCCCGTTCCCTTGGCCATCCGTGCGGATATTCTGGTTGAACCCGGAAAATGTAATGTTCCTTGTGAAGGAAGCCAGGTTAGACCCGGAGAACCACTTACCAGCTCTTCTGGCATTGTGCATGGACTTGGCAAGGAGGTACAAACTGTTGTAGATTGTACCAAAGAGCGGAGAGACCTGAAATGTAGCAGAACATTTTAACCGTGTCGATCCATATATCCTCATTAGAAGACACGATGGCTATGTTAGCCAAGCTGAAAAACTTAAGTACACTAAAAAGCACCCGTGTCGGGGATGGTAAAGTTCGAACAAATGTTGGGTAGCCCTGGACCCGGTCTAACTCATAGTTAATACACGCCCATGAAAATATAGACTTGTCCCAATTCTTGCCCATGAGCACCGCAGCATTGCAGTATCCTGGATTTGTAGGGCCTACAAATGCATCAACCATGTTCTCATATTGTACAAACGAGGTCAAGGCTTTGGATGTCTCACAAGCCTCCTGAAGGATGACAAAGTCCATTGTGCAGCCCAGATCTAAACTAAAATCCTCGTTTATGCGGCCAACAGCCAGTTTGGACGCAATGGCAGGAAGTGATTTTGCGTAATAAGGGTCACAGTTCCAAGGCCCCAAGACACCTACTTTGAAAATCAGGCATTGGACACAGCATGGAAACGTCAACACACCAAGAATAATCCATAGTGTAATGCTGTAAAATGGGAGCGTAGAGAGGCTGTGTCTGCTCCTGAGAACGGGGCAGCAGGGGTAACTGGATAACTCCCATAAAGCATCTCCGAATGGGAGGTGAATATGTTGCATTGTCCTCCGTCAGAAGACGTTATGAGAGATGGATATTACAAAGAGACACCTAGAAAACAGCAGGTTAGACATGAATTGAAGTCATGGCACACTTTTATCAGTTTTCAAGGCCAAATATTCAATAGGCTTATCCGTTACATACAGCTAGGTTGTATATTTTCTGTACAATTCATTTCAACACACCAAAATTGAAAACTTAAAGTTACATTTTTAAGTAAAAATCGACAGTCTGCAGTTCATTTTAAATGTAAGTTATGTGAGTTAAATCTGATCAAATCTAATAATTGAACTCTGAATGATTAGAACATGGTTGTAGAAATTACATGAAATTATTGTGACATGGGAAAAATATTTATTTGTGCTTTGCTAATCTACACCGTAAAAAAAATATTTTAGGTAAATATTTTGTAAATAAAACATTGATTATTGGAGTACGTTTTACAAATAAATAATATTTCAGTCTTTCCAAATTTCATGTTTAATGTGTTATTTGCCTTTTGTTGTAATTATTTGTGATATTTACTAGCAATTTCTGAGTGAAAATTGTTTCATTACCAAATTTTTGATGCACGACAAATACAAATAAATAAATAAACTACAAATTTATCTGCACTTATATTTATGCTAGTGAACAAATTGAAACACATTGCTACATAAAATGCAATTTAGAAAATGAACTTACCATTATTTATATGGGCCTCTTGGTGCAGGAAAACATTTTCACAAAGTTTTACCTCTTTCCTCCAGTGTTTTCTTTTATAAGGTCGATTTATATCCTTCATAGAGTTCTCCAGCATCAGTCGCGCAGTGGGCATAAACAAATGTTGAGTAGATCTCCGCTCACAAACAAGAGTTTGATGAGGCTCGTCAGTGGCGTTGAGATTCAACTTCAGCACCCTGGAGAGCTACTTAAACCTACAGTCATCAATCCAGGTGCACTTTTGCACCTTTCACAATTCACACCTAACGTTCAGTAACATTTTCCAGCTTCACCCTTATGAATATTGCTGTACAACTACTCGATAGTGTTGTCGATATGGGTTCAGTTTTTACCTTATTTTTGTTACATCGCAGTTCCTGAAATCCTTGACGAGCTTAAAAATAATTGTTGCGTTTTAAATGAATCCACTCGAAATTATCAAGAGGCCTAGATGTTTCTCTATTCAATGAAAGTCCTTTGAAAGTGACCCGCGGATGAATCTAATCCATACTTGGTCAGGGACAAAATAAGAGGATTGCAGACATACGTTAACGCTTCAGATCCACCTTTACTGACTGAGCTAGCCATGAACGCAATTAGTTACTTTTTAGGCAAACGAAGGAAACATAAAATTGTTGCATTATAGTGTACAGTCATCACAAGCGTAAATTACACATTAGGAAGATATTTTGATGGGCCAAGAAGAATAATTAAATGCAATGATTTCAGTGCTGTTGGTTTGGATTGTGGAAAATGTTTAAGCAAAAACATTAAAATATGTTTTTTTTTTTTTAAATACCAAGATTTTGTTTCATTAAAATAATATTAAAATATTATTATATGCATATATATATATATATATATATATATAGGTGTGTGTATGTGTGTGTGTGTGTATATATTATAATATATAATATATAACAATATAATATTATATATTATATAATATTATGTACAAATGACAACAAATGACTATGAACACATTTGAATAGGGTTAAATCATTTATTTGTATAAAATAACAATAAAATATCATATATATGCACAGTACATACAAGCCAAACTACTTATGCCAACATTTCGTATTTCAAGAATTACAATCTCCAGTCATTTAAAGCGCCACAAAAATATCAAAAGGACTTTTGGATCAGAAATTACAGAACAACATTTATTAGTATAGAAAACAACATTTTATTATTATTTTTATGCTTTATGTTTTTGAGCTCTCATCTTTAGGTTATTTATGGTCGAGCAAGGTCTCAGCAGCCTATTTCCACCTCGCCATGGAGACCCTGAGCTGCATGAGCGTTTACGCAGTGTAATTAAGCATTTGTTTGGTGTAGCTGTGATAGGCCCACTTCAATTGAATTTGCACATGGTGTATTGGGTATAATTAAAGTTAACGAAGGGCGTTCCCTTGGACGATCCCTAGAGTTCTCTCACATTTGCCTGCGTCAGTTAAACCTTGTGTTTTGAGAATTCACCTGAGGTCTCTCTGAGCTCATTTGGACTATTAGCACAATGTTTACAGAGAAATACGAGCCCAGGTAATAAGAAACATTTACGGAACAAAACAATCTTGTGCTCAAGCAGTTTTACTGTTTGATTCACATTTTCATTGTTTCTCGTTTGCTGGCTATTAAAACTTTAAAAGTCTTGACTTTTTGATGGATCACGTGCCTTTTGGGATTTCTGATGTGCTTGAGGAGCTTAATGCAGCTTTTGCTTAATGCAGCGTTTGCCTTCAGGTTACTGTTGAGATTTTCTGGTGATATGTGCAGTGAGAGTGAGAGAGAGGGAGGAGGGCGAGAGAGATGTGCTGACCCATATCCAATAAGCCTCTGAGCTTCTTAAATGTTACACCTTGACACCTCTGCCCTACAACCAGAAACAGGGGATGCAAACTCAGCAAACAGCACCCAAAGCTCTTACAGGTAATATTTCAAGCACTCTGTAGCACTAAATAACTGTCTCTAAAGGAAACAAAACCAAAATGTCTTGGTCTTTGAAACATGTACAGGGTTTGAATTGACATATCTGTAATTTTATTATGGCTGATTGGTTAGTTAACCATTGCTGAAGATGCACTTCATATACTTTCTAATATTTGTGTTACAATTAATAATATTTGTGAATATAACTAAAAAGTTTTACTCTCTTCATTGAAATGTGGGCTCCTTGAAGACAATTGTTTTTGTTTTATTGTACTGCCATCTAGTGGATGAAAAAAATCTGCACTCTTTTAAACGTGCAACCTCGTTCATAACGAAAAGATCAGAGGTTGTTTTAAGTTTATATTTTAGAACATATTATAAACTATGCAGTTCCTGCATAATCGTCACTGTCCTCTTTTTCTTCCTATACTCTCCTTCTCTTTATTCTTTAGTTTCACTTCTACGAGTTATACAAATCTGCAGAGAGCAGAAAAACAAAATAAACTTTAAGAACTCAGATTTCACAATCAAAGGTTTTCTTTGTGACCTAAATCCACCTGAAAACCACAAAATAGTGATAATATAAATACAAATAATATTGCATGCATCTTTGGGGCTTTTCTATTCCTTAAATTTAGTAAACACTTACCATTACAGATGTAATTTAAGCGGTTGTATGATGGTAACCTTCAACATTAAAGTGTAGAAGTTTATATGTTAACATGAATATATTAATAATATACAAGAAACATCTCATGAATGCACTGGGACGCATCCTCAGTGATGTACCCTGGGGTCATTGGGTGTTTCGGGTCTCGCAACATCATACACCCTCGCCCAGGCGACCCAGCCGGGGTTGATCAAGCCCCGACTTGCGTCCCAGTAGCAGCCCACGGATCAGCCCTCTTAAACCAAAGCCACCTTGTGGCCTTCTCTGCAGCTTCGCTCGCGGCTTGAATGGCCCTCTTCTTGGCCACCCCTGTAATGCCCAAATGGTTGGGATGACAGTTCCTGAGATCGAAAAACGGAACTTGTCAACCACTTTCCCCTTCTTCAGCACCATGGACCTTGACTTGGAGGGCTTAAAACTCATCCTTGCCCAGGTGATGAGTCTCTCAAGTCCTTGTAAGATCCACCTGCTCCCTGGGACCGATGTCGTTGTAATAGTAAGGTCATCCATATAGGCTCTTATAGGGGGCTGTCGTACTCCTGACTTGGTTAAGGGCCCTCTACATTCCACCTCGGCTGACTTGACCACCATGTTCACAACAATAAATGAGTTGTGATTTATTTGACAACTCACATTTTGAAAACACAAAATATGATCTTAGTGGTATATTGCAGTGGCCCATAAGGGAGTCCATATAGAAAATATGAGAAAATTTGACAGCGTTTAACATGTTAGCTCAAGGTTTTTTTGTTTTGTTTTAAACATTTATTAAATTTGATATTATTACTGTTAAATTCCACTTTCGAAAGACTGATGGGAAAGTACAAGACTAATCATGACTAGTTTTATTCTGTTGTATGCAGCCTTCATTTTTAACAGTGAAAAAAGCTTTAACTTGCTCATTAGGGTTTGAAGGGCACTATTCTCTGAAACACTGCTTTAGAACAATATTTAATGTGAAAAACACTATATAAATAGATTTGAATCCACTGACACACGTCAGCTTTCTTTTATTATTATTATTTGTATCATTCAAACTGTTGTAAATTAAGAAATAAATGCTACAAGAACATGGTGCATAAATGAAAAAAAGACCATCTTCTTTATGAATGTGCATCTGTAAAGCCTCTACAGAGCTGTTCAAACAGTCAAATCAAGAATGTTATGGTTACACAGTTATTTCTCACTTTAGACTTGCCTGCATGCCTTTCCTTTATTATAAAGTAAATGTTTTTTTAGAAAACGTTATAATCATTTGTTTTGGCTTCAGTACAGAGACAGTATAAAAGCTATTATTTATTCGTTTAATTTAAAAATAAAAACATTTATAAACGTCAGAAAAGATTCGACTCCCAGTTTACATTTAAATGGTCTGTAGTGTTATATACTCGCCGCTAGGGGGCGCTGTTACTCGCCGCGTCTAGACGTTGTTGGGCGCGGATTATCATCAGTGAAACTCTAGACGAGACTGTGCTTGCGGTGGCGTTTTATCGCTTCATCTTCTGCGGCGAGTCTGTAACCGATAGATCGACAAAGTCCCAACCAAGACAATACCGCAGACGTGCTCATTCGCCCAACGACAAAAAGCACAGGATATGACAATCCCTAAAACTGGAGTCTTTTCCGATGCTGGCCTGGAAGAGTAACTTAAAAGCTCTCCGACAGACGTGTCGCGGCACATGGTAAGTTTTACCAAAAAGACAAACTGTATCTGACAAACGTGACTTGCTGTTGGCATTGGTTTGTACTGCCTTTTTTATATGACAAACTCAAAATGCCTGCTGATTGCTTCATCTCAAGTAGTTCGCGTAATGAAAAATAAAGACACAATGGAAGTAACGTTAACGTACATATTTGTACATTCTGGTGCTGTGAAACCATAGACTGTATAGTGTGAAACGCACACGTTTGTTGAGAATGGTCAAGTTGTTACAAAGTTTATTTGCGATTGTATTTTTAACTGAATACAGATGTGGATCAGACCATGAAGGCAGAGATTTTAGCTGCGTCTCAAAACCTAGTCAGCTACCTACCTAGACAGCACCTATGATGCCCAAAATTCGGTCAAAGTAGTTATCAGATAAATTTATTTTACTGTGAATCAACTAATATGGTTTTGCACAGACTTTTTAAAAGAAATAAGTATTAATTATTTTATTTCTGCTTTGTACATAATAAGTAATAGGCTACACAATGTTATTTAAGAATAATAATAACTATTATTATTAATATTTAATGGCGTATTATAACAATAATGGCACCGTAGCTGTTTATGTAAAATTAAATTTTTTTCATCATTTTATTTTCATCTTTGTTTTGGGTTCTATTTAACAATTGGACTTAAATTGCTGCTTTTCTCACTTGAATGAAAAGCACAATTGAGTAATTTAGTTGTTTCCTGTTGGAGGAAGAGGCATTAGCATTGTTAAGTACTATGCTTTAGACACCCACCAAATGGTGCCATTTGTCAGTAGACTTGAACAGGGGAATTAAAAATGGAAGAAAAAATAAAGTAAATTTTTTTTTTATTTTTTATCCTTTTTGTTCTAAGGCTAACAAGTGCTTTAATGCATTAGAATTGAGATAAAGCTGTCCACGTGTTTTCTAGTATATGGGTGGCAACCTGCATTATGTCAGCTGTACTGTAGTCAACACCCATAAAAATTTTGTTGAACGCTTTGATGCATGTGCTGTTGTGAAGTTGGCATCACAAAAAGTACCTGGCATTCAGAAGTGAGCTGTTTGAGATGTTAAAGCTCCCATTAAATCTGACCCCCCTTAAAGTACTGCATTCTTTCAGCGTTATTGGATTAGGATGTCTGCAGTCTGCTAATTAAATTGGTTAAGAACCGACTTTAGTTCTCTTGTACTGTAGTTCTCTTTTGGCTATGTTAACTGCAGAA